GAGGGGAAATGTTGGATGTTCCAGGTGTCTCTGCCCAGTCGGACCTGTGAGGTGCATCGGCTGAAGCTGTCGGAGGATGAACAGGCCGTGTACGACGTCGTGTTTGCCCGTTCCAGGTGAGCCCAGAGCTGACCACACACACAGAATGGCCTCTTTCCTTCCTCTTTATGTGGTTAGATGCTGCTGGGGATCCAGTAGGGTTGTCAAAAGAATCAATACCACACCCTTCTCTCTGATTTATTTATTTATTTACGTTGTTTATGATCATTAACGTGACGTTAGCTTTTAATTGCTAGCTGCGGCTAATGGCTAATAACAACACGCCAACATTAATCAAGTCTGCAGGAAGCCAAGGATGGATATCCAACTCCCCCACATCCAAGTCGGCCATTTTGATTAGGTCCCCAATAGGAAGATCCCAGGCAAGAAAATCCTAATTGCTTCATGGCAATATAGAGATGTTAAAATAGTGGATGTTAAATAGGTTTGTACAATAAGTCCAAACAAGTTTAACCAAAAAATATTTATTTCTCACATGGAAAATGGTATCAAATATTTTCCTGAGTATCGGTATCGAGTTGAAAATGTTAGTATCGTGACAACCCAAGGATCCAGTCATCTTTAACCACATAAAATACAGATGGATATCAGCTGTGTACTCCATAACATCCAATGTGGGTCTTAATAAATGAAAATGTCTTATTAAGTCTTCCAGTGTTTTTTAAACAGCTTTTCTACTTTAAGCTACATGCTAAAGCTTTTGAAAAGTGACTTGGTACAAAATCTATTGAATAATTTGACTGCTGAGGTAAAGCTAACAAAGGTTCTCTTAAATTAAAGAAAAAATGCTCTTTTTCTCTAGATCTACTCTGCAAAACTACCTGAAGAGACACGAGGAGACCGACGCCAGCAAAAGAAACCCTTCCACCGTTAACCCTTTTGACAAAGGTGAGGGAGCATCTTCCTTATTTCGTTGTCGTTAAATCATTGACTGCCAGCCATTTTCAGAACAGAGAGTCCCATACTGCCAGAGTTTTTTGAGCATTTTTACTGATTTTTCAAGAGCCACAGAATAGTTTGTGCTATGACTATGTAAACACCGAACACACCAAAAGAAAGAGTAGACTCTCTTCTTTCACCAGAAAAAAAAAATTGTTTCTACCTTATTCCGTTCTTCCTCGACTTGCGTCTCACCGGCGACATGTTCTCTCATAGCGAACCGTTACCTTTTTCTTATTTGCCTACAGTCTATGCTCATCTCCCATCAAAAGTGGCACTGCCCCCTAGAGGGTCAATTTGTTACTACATACTCTGTCTAGAAGCCTGATATTTACGGACAAGCTTTAGCAGATCGTCCCCCAGCCACTCTCGTTGAAAAACATAAAAGACGTCTATAGACGTCTTTGGCAG